GTCCGTAAGCTGTCTTCAGGCGAAGTTCGCAAGCTTCCTTCAAGTGAAGTATGTACGATTCCTTCAGGGGGGGGGGGAGTCTGTACGATTCCTTCAGGGGTGGAATCTGTACGATTTCTTCAGGGGTGGAGTCCCTACGCTGCACAAATCCCACACAAAGCCCCAACAAGAAGCCCGTACAGACGGTACACAGTGCCGCACGCGAGGCTGAGTCACTAACTACCTCACTAACTACCTCACTCACTAACTACCTCACTAACTACATCACTAACTACTGAGTTGCTAACAGCGCTGTCGGATCGCACGGTCGGTTCGCTGCTTATTTACCCTCCCTCCCCACGGCGGTGACAGTGTCACCGTGCACGTCTGCATTGCCGCAGAAGGTGAACGGAAATCATCTCTCGCATTAATCTTTAATTTCACGCTGCCAGTTGTCAGCGAGCGCGCCGCCGCCGCCGCCGCCGCCGCCGCCACGCGCGCAGACGCCGGTGTGTTGTTTGCGGCGGCGGGAACCTGCTCAGCCCTGCTCATCGCTCCTTAATCATCCTCCGCGACTCCGGCGGGATTCGACGTTGATTGTTGTGGTTTCAATAATGCATGCGGGAGCGTTCGCCGCATCGGCAGATAGCTGCCTCACATGCTGCTTCTGCTGCTGCTGCTGCTGCTGCACGGTGGCGGAGTTAGTAGCGGCTGCGACTCCATTTCGCGCCTGGCTGCGAATGTGGGATGTCTGGGGATGATGGATATTTCCCGCGCCTGCTAAATCATTCAGCGAGCGACGGACGTGAGGGAGGGAATCGGGTGGGGGGGGGCGTAGTATTTACCGTACGGTTCGAATCGTGTTTGGTTTACGGTTCGCATCTGATTGAATCCCGCGGAAATGGCTGGACTGTCGGCACCAGCCGCGTGCCTATCTCTGTGTGTAATACTGTGTATGCTTGCTTTCTCTCGGGGGCGGGGGGGAGTTTAAATTTCTCGCGTGGAATTTCTCGCGAGTTCGCCGCGAGACGAGTAGAGAAAGAGCGTCTGCTTGCAACTCTGAACTGCTAACATATGAATTACTATATGTATCTGCTATATAACTGCTACGCATATATATAAATTGCTTTTTTCTCCTTGTGTGATTTCAGCGTCCGACTGCCTGCACTACATGCAGACGGGCTGCGACTTGGTGAAGGTGCGCTCCACCTCTCGCCAGTATCACCGCTACTTCATGCTGGATGAGGACATGTCAGCCCTGCGGTGGCACCCGACGTCGAAGAAACCTAACAAGGCGAAGAGTGAGTACGCACGCACGCACGCGCGCACGCACGCACGCACGCGCGCGCGTGTGTACATGCCACATGCACGCGCGTACGCACATGCCACGTGCACGCACGCACACACATGCGTACATGCCACATGCACGCACGCACACACACACATGCGTACATGCCACGTGCGCACACGCATACACGCACACGAACATGTGCACGTGCACGCACGCACGTGTGTACATGCCACATGCACGCGCGTACGCACATGCCACGTGCACGCGCGTACGCACATGCCACGTGCACGCACGCACGCACACACATGCGTACATGCCACGTGCACGCACGCACGCACGCACGCACACACATGCGTACATGCCACACGCATACACGCACACGAACATGTGCACGTGCACGCACGCACGTGTGTAGATGCTACATGCACGCGCGTACGTACATATATATATATACATATACATGCTATATATATATGAGACTAATCACTAATGTGTCTAATGCTGCAGACGCCTCGAAACAATCGTGCCGCGGTGATTAAAAATTGAGTCGGTTCCCTCAGTTTTGCTCAGCTCCAACGAAACGTGATGTGCTTTTCACGTTAGCATATCAGAGTCATCAGACGCCTCCAGCCGTTAAATCTTGCAAAAACTTTAATGTGCGGGCTCGCCGTGTGTGGTATATATTTAAAAAAAATATCGTACTGTTTAGTCCACTGGGCCATTTCTTGGTAAAAAAGAGTTAGTATAATAATATGTTACGTCACGTCAGTTTATAAAATGGTGGTAGTTGGCAGTGAATGGTGCATACAGCATAGATGATGATGGTGATGGTGATGGTGACGATGATTGACGACGACGATGGTGATGGTGATGGTGATGGTGATGGTGATGGTGATGGTGATGGTGATGGTGATGGTGATGGTGATGGTGATGTGATTAGATGGTGTGGATTATCGCTACGTTTTGTGGATATATGCCTACTAAAGTGGAAATTTTTGTTGGCTACTAATTTAGTAGCAAGTATCCACACGCTGTGGAAACTTTGCTAAGCTAAATGTGGATTTGGGCTACTAATTGTGATTCTGCTACTAAATGTGGATTTCTGGCTACATGCGCGTTCCTTGAATCTAATTGGTTAGCCAAAAATGGTTCAAAAGAGACCTTGTTTGTTTGACAAGTGGTTTCTTCAAACAAAGATAAGGAATTTCTAACACAGAGATCTAGCTTCTGCTTCTACTAAAGTCATACTAAAATAAATGCAAAAATTTAATTAATTCCTTTAATTCGTTTAAATGCTTAGAAACAATTGGCAAGTAATGAAAATCTTTAATTTAAATGATTCCAACTGTTCATTGCATGAAAAAACGGACATAATCCGAATAAATTACTTGCAATAGAATAAAGTGAAATGTAATAGTTAAACCTAAATTAATTAAAAACAAAAACGGCAGAAGCAAAGAACATAAGAATATCATATAACAATAAATAGAATAAAAGAGAGAGAGAACGCGAGAAGCGTGAGAGCGCCATCAAGACGAGCGAGAGAGAGAAAGCGAGAGAGAAAGAAGAATTGGATTGAAAAGAGAGAGCGAGAGAGAGCGAGAGAAAGAGTGAGCGAGAAAGAGAGAGAGAGAGAGAGATAGAGCGAGAAAGAGAGAGAGAGAGAGAAAAAGAGAGAAAGAGAGAGAAAAAGAGAGAAAGAGAGAGAAAAAGAGAGCGAGAGAGCGAGAAAGAACGAGCGAGCGAGAGCGTGAGAGAGAGAACGAGAGAGAGAGCGAGAGAGAGAGAGAGAGAGGGAGAGGGAGAGAGAGAGTGAGAGTAGAGAGTGTGAGAGAGCAGCGAAGATCAGCGAGAGAGAGAGAGAGAGAAAGAAGTGACGGGAGGGAGAGAGCGGATAGAGAAGCGCGCCGCACGAAGAGAGAGAGAGAGTAGAGAGCGAGAGAGCGGTAGAGAGAGAAGAGAGAAGCGCGAAGAAGAGCGTGTGAGAAGAGAGAGAGAGAGAGGAGAGAGAGAGAGAAGAAGCGCGAGGGAGAGGTGTAGAGAGAGAGGGAGAGAGAGAGAGCGAGAACGAGAGCGAGAGAGAAAGTGAGAGAGAGGAGAGAGAGAGAGAGCGAACGAGAGAGAGAGAGAGAGCGAACGAGAGAGAGAGAGATGAGAGGATATAGAGAGAGAGAGAGAGAGAAGAGGAGAAGAGAGACGAGAGAGAGAGAGAGGAGAGAGAGAGAGAGAGAGAACGAGATGCAAGAGAAAGAGAGAAAGGAAGAGCGAGCGAGAAGCAGAGAGAGAAAAGCGAGAGCAGGAGAGGAGAGAGAGAGAGACGAACAAGAGCGGAGAGAGAGAGAACGAGAACGAAGCAAGAGAAAAAGAGAGAAGGCGAGAGACGGAGAGA